CTCGTGTGTGGCTGACAGGGAGACAAGGCTCTGAGCGCGCGGGGGGCGGGGGGGTGGAAGACGTACTGTACATCATGGAGACAGCCGGCACACAGACAGACCTCATACCTGGCAGTGCGGTGAGTCAGCAGCACCACTCTCTGCATGCCAACTACATATCCAGCTGATCCCCAAGACCGACGAGACCGACTCCACTGCCGACTTGTACGCACATCAACAACCGATTTAGGTGCCGAATGACAACAAACAAAAGGAAAATACTATAATCAATTTAAGAAGTGCTGGATGTTTCGAACTGGAAGAAGAGGAAGGGCAAGGGGGGGCCGGCTGCCTGTGTGATCCTCACGCTCTGTGGGAGCGAGTACAGTGGAAAATAGTCCCCACTGTTAATCCATGGCAGGCTAATTACAGCTTTGATCCCCTAGGCGTGTGCATCACCATAGGTGGGAGGGAGGCAACACACTCTGGGGCTAGATACAGTTACGGTTAGATTTGTTTTGGTTTAGATCTGTCTTCAATAAGCTCACATCTGCTGCAAATGCCCCGCAACTACAGTATACTCTTTGATAAGTCAATTCACCAACTGCACAATATGATCTGATACTTTTTTTTTTTACTGCCTTCCGCTCATCAAAGACTGTACAAGCTGCCATTTGTAACACTGAGCAATAAAAGAAACTCAACTCGGGCAGACGGAGACACAGATTAAGTGGGTAAATGGAGTTTCAGTCAAAAATAGGCCGCAGCTCTGATGATAGCCTAGTCCCAAAACACATGGTGGCAGAGATAGAGCACGGAAAGGAGGCAAGAAGAGGATGAGGATGTGAGGATGAGTAGCAGATGGCATGGAATTATCTGGATCTTCAGCTCTGCATCTTTGCCCATGGCGCCATTATTTGAGGGGTAGTTCACTTCTCATGTCCAATATCACTCCAAGCAGCATTTCATTCAACGTACAGATAAACAGCGGCGCGTCAACATCGAAACTTCAACTAGAAAGCAACTTGGCAGAAATAAGCTCGGCTTGGCAGAGCAGAGAGGAATGAACTAGTGATGTTGATGTTGTGACAAGCGTTGGTCGCTGGTAACTTTGAGCACTTGACTGGTCTGACATAAAATACAGTTCTGTCCAAGCATAGTTTATTAAAAAGCAGTGTGAAAAGTGAGATCCTTGTCTCAGCCGAATTCTGCACTGGGGTTGAAAACAGCTACCAAGATGAAAAGTTTCTGGGTGGAAAGCTCCATCGCCATCAGGCTCCAACACTGTCCAAACACTGTGTGCACTCTCGCCTTTGTTTACTGCTACAACTGTGAATTAAAACCTCTCCTGTTATTTTTAACATATCCAACACACCTGAAACATGGACACATATGTGATGGTGCAAACTCAGACATGCTGGTAGGACGACTAACTACAAACCAGAGAGAAATAAGAAGTCACTAACTGGCCACTCAGGTTAACTTCCCATACAGCAGAGGCTATTCAGAGAGTGAACCCTCTTTACATTACAGTGATTTTAACTCCACAGCAGCTCCTCTGAGGCAAGCTTTACTAAACAGACCCACCCCTCATATGTTACTGCTGCTTTTAGCATTAAATAAAGTCACACATAAAGCCCACAAAGGGTGCAAAGCTGCCACTTCCGCTTATAACTTTCAAAATAAAACGCTTGAACAAACAAGCTGCAGCGTTTAAATACACTTCAACTTCGAGTGACTAAAGAGTAAATATCTAATATATGAAGTGGCAGATACCTTAAGCTGGCTAACGTGTAAACTAACACACGTTTCTACGCAGATAATTACATTAACCAGTTGAGTTAACAAGCCAACCAGCTGACGACGCCGCTGCCACGACAGCTTGAACCTGTAACGTCAACGTTAGCCACCTTAGCTCGGCGTGCAGTCAGTCAGCGTGCCCCGTTACAGCCTGCAGCCGGTGGGCATCCTCAGCCTCGGTCTTTCCCCACCAGTCGTGACCAGGCCGAAACGAAATGCCTGGCTCCGACGCCGAAGCATAAGCTAAAAGACACTGGCCAGCTCTCTCTCTCTCTCTCTCTCCCCCTCCTCCTCTTCCTCCTCCGATCCCTTCGCTAACGCTGAAGCCTCCTCGGTTTACATCCACAACAACAGAGCTGAGGATGTTTCCAAGTCACCACCAGCAGCACCTGACTGCGACTACCTAAAAAAAATTAAAAAATCGGATTGTTTTGCCAGCTAACATTGAAGTACTCACCCCCGACTGAAGCTGGTTACGGCAATGTCAAGCGGGGACTGTATCAGGGGGAAGTGTAGGGGGGTGGTGGTGTTTTTTTGCCCCGGAACGGTCACCCAGGTCGAGTATCTTTTCCTCCAAACGATCCCTCTCTCTCTCTCTCTCTTTCTGTGTGTGTCTGTGTGAGCACAGCACCTCCGTATGATCTCTCCACACTGCAATGGTGCTGAACCACAGCGGGACACGATTGGCCAGACTGAGCGGAACTCGGAGCTCTTTGGTGAGCAGAAAGACACTGGTGCCTTCACGGCTGTCGGAAAACTCACCACCAACCTTGAGCCTTAACCCAGTGGCTCCTCAAGAGACTCGTTTTTGTCTGACTGAGTACACTGACGACCCCTGATTGAGTGGATTTAATTCATTAATTAGTAATTGTATTATTATATCATATTTAACTATCAGAATCAGAATCAGAAATACTTTAATAATCCCAGGGGGAAATTATTTTTGTTACAAACTCCAGATATACAAACAACATATATTAAGAACATATATA